CGGGAAGAGAGCGAGCGCGGCCCGGGCGGGGCCGGTGCCGCTCGGCGGGGCCCCTCCGACCCGACCGCTCCCGCTTCCAACCCAAAACAACCCACAACAACCGCCGCGAGAAGAATCTGCCGCCTCCCGGCGCGGGGCTGCGCCCGGCCCTGGAGCCAAGCAGCGTGACAAACCATCCTCCACTCCCCGGTCCCCGTAGAAATGCCCCCCCTGCCCCCCAGCGACTGGGGCTCTCGATCGTCTACTGAAATAAAATAATAAAGCCTGACGAATTTAACGAGGAAAGAAGAAGCAAAGTTCAGCTCGGTTAGAGAATAAAAAAAGAGACATTTCCCATGTAGCAGCCAAGCAGAAGCCAGCCCGCCTCCTCTGGGCGGCTCTGGCTCATAGCTGCTTCCACGTGCTCCAGCCGGCTTTCCCTGGCCCCTTCAGCCACTGAGGAGCCTCTCGTCACTGCGTTCTCAGGCACCTCACATCTCTCTCCTAGTCCAAAGGCAGAGTGAATCCCTTTCTGTGACATGACAAAAAGCAGCAGCCTCCCCTGGCGTGGAGAGTCTTGTGCTTTTAAACGCAGGCACCAAACTGAAGGTCTCTCAAGTTTATTAGTTGTCAAGAATGTTGCTGGTTACGAGAGGAACATTAAGTTTGACAGTGTCTCCCCACACTGGTGCTGCCGCCCCTCCATGCCCAGGGACTGGCCCTGCTGCACTTGGCAGAGGTCGATTGATATTTTTCCTGTTAATATTAGTGTTACTGCTGCCTTGCGATTTGGGGTGCTGCTGTTCTGCTTCTCAGAGCAGAATCTGTTATTAGAGCAAGAGCTGACTGCTGTCAACTTTTAAACAATGAACAGGTGACCAGAGCAGGTGCAGAAGGTGCTGCTCCAACAACTCCACCAGTGGCTCCAGCATCCACTGCCCTTCTGAGCACTGCAAGAAACAAAATTGGGATGAAGAGGGCTTTGATGATTCACCCACAGCCCCATCACAGCACTGCACCGTAGAATCAAGCTCTGCCCTTAGCAGAGAAGTCTCTCCCACCTCAGCAGCAGCTTTAGCACTCTCCATTTCCAGCAGATATGTCTGTGGTATGTCCAGTGCCAGCTGGGCAGGGACAATACTGGGATGAAGGGCAGAGACATACTTGGTGAGTCCCGTCGGGAATAGACAGCCCAGCAACAGCCACAGGTCAGCAGGATCAACACCTCAACCAAAATTCCTGGTTTTGGCAGAAGGGGAATGGCAGTGGTGCACTCTGTTGTCTGGAGGTGCATCCTGAACCCCCCCAGATGTGGCTAACAGAGACAAGCACCATGTGTGGGCTGGCAGCATGAAAGGCAAATCTCAACCACCAAGAACAGCAGAGTACAGTCAAACAATCCCTTCCCTGCCCCTCCCCAAAAAGCAGCCTCTTGTTTCATCCCCCTGAAGTTTTCACCTGGTAAAATACAGACCATAGCTCAGGCTTCTGATCCAGCAATTGTGCAAAACATTATTCCTGCCCTTCCCAAACTGGATGAGCAGAATTTAAGCTCATGAAGCGAACCATCACTTCTTATTCAATATGAACATGCCTGTCAGGTTTGAACCGGATCAAAGGCCAGCACAAGGTTTTTCCTTCCCCACCTCCTATCTAATTGTAGCTCAAACCCCATTCAGTTACCATCCAGCTGCCAGCAGCACCACAATCAGACACTTTCAAATGGCATTTCTGGGCTAAAACTATCTAAGGTGGGAAGTGGCAGCAGCCACTTTGAACATGCAGGATTGACATACTGAACAAGGCCACAGAACAACCATTCAGTTCCCCAGAAATCAGAATAAGCTTCCCTAAAATAAAATAAAAAAATTAAATTACAATAGATTAAAAACACAGGCTAGGTGTCAAAACCGCCATCAGCTAATTCCAAACAGCCAGCCCAGCTCCTGACTTGCTATCAGCCAGCTTGCTGTTTGGAGGATGAGAGACAGGGAACATTTTCCAGGAATATACAAAACAAGTATGTAGATCTATTCAAAACACAGTAAATCAGGTCTGAAGGGGTCCCAGGTTATTCTTGTCTCACATCTTCTAGAAATAAATGAAGGTAATTGGAAAGTCACTTGTCTATTTTCTGCTTCCAGCTTCCCCACAGCACAACTGCCACTAGAGACATCCCACCAGAGGGTCCTGCTGCAGGCTGTGAGATTCCTCTCCTTGGAAGTTTGGCAAAGATGAAAATAATTTAAAGAGAATAAACTGGCTTTTTGCTTAAGCCAGTAAGTCTTTAATTTAAAAAAAAAAAAAAAAAAATCAATAACTTGCCAGGATGCGGTCACACACCTGGAATGGACTGTCCCAGGCAAACAGCACTGCCAAAGGTCACAGTTTAAGCAAAACCAGCAGCAGACCATTGTATGACACACAAATCTAAAGAGGTGAAGTACAGTTGCTTTTGCATCTGCCTTGTGCTGTGAAACCAGCCAAAGACAAAGGCACAGCAGCTGTGTCGCATCCCAGGCTCTCCCCTGCAACAGTCCAGACTCAGAGGATTCATAGGAAGGTTCTCCTCCACCAGCTGCCTCTACCAGTGCCTTGAGTCCACCAGCTCTGGGCGCAGGCTCAGCTTCTTCAGCGTTTCATACCCCACCACGATGACAATGGTGGAAGGAGTGGCCGAAATGATTCGGGCAGAGAGGCCTTTAGTCAGCCCCCAGGGACCTTCCTCTGCAATAAGCTGTTTGAAGGTGAGAATGATGGAGCTCTTGCCTTCCACCTGCAATACCAGAACAAACATTGAATGAGCTGCCAGACTCCATACTGAGGTGCTCTGGGGCTCTGCTGCAACTGAACACTCTGGAGACAACAGATCAGCCAGTCCAACAGCCTTGATCTGATCTCCAAAACTCCCTGAGGAGGGGAGCAAAAAAAGCACAAAGTTCCAAGGAAGCAGCAAGGAACCTCGCCCTTTCTGAAAAGAAAGCCTGCCTGAGCAGGCCAGGCCAGCACTGCCAGCCTTGCTCCCTGGGCTCCTCTTGTTAGTGTTGAGGGCTAATTAAGCAGCTATTATCCAGGATGAGAGGCCCAGGGAGAGCAGGGAAGCAGCTCACCTGAAACCACAGAGATCAGAGAACGGAGGCTGAACCCCACCCTGCACTGTGCCAAGAACACTGAGCTCTTACCTGGACCCGAGCCCTCACCACATCCATGGGGTTGGTGAGTGTGGAAGCTGTTGCAGCCGCAAGTGGCCCTGATATTGCTTGCAGAAGGAGGTGGGGACAGTCTTTAGGAGTCAAACTTGAAAGCTGTTCTGGGAAAAGGAGAAAGAGGAAAACTTCAGACTTTCAGCGGCCGCTTATAATTTCCTTAACTCCACCCCCTAACTCCAACTGATTTGCAGTGGGCAGAATCCCTGATTTACAGCCTGCCAGCTCCTCCTACAGAATCTTCAAGTGGTGCTTCCTACACCAACCAGAAAACTGGCACAGCACAAGGAGCAAGACTCATCACACTGGTGGCTCCAGGATACTCCCCATGCTTGTCCCACAGCCTCCCATCAGCTGCCACACTGGCTCTCAGGCCTGTGGGGCAAACTGGACACAATGAGCTCCCATGTCTTCCAAACAGGCCATGAAAATACCCACCCTCTTTAGAACGTGGTGGAAGCCTTAAGAGAAGATTTTATTGGAAGGTGTCTGCAGAGATTTGCACAGAAAGCTGTCACTACAGGGCATGCTGCCCAGGAGATACTCTGGTATCCCACTGTGGATCCCTAAGGAAAAAACCACCATGTAGTGCCAGATTTCCTCACTCTGCTCCTGCTGCCTAGCCGATAGGATTTGAATCTCCCACACTCTTATTGGTTGCAGTTGAAGAGAAGACTGTTCAAAAGCCCCATTTTTTTTGAACAATGTGGAAGCCTGTCTGGCGGGAGGGAAGGAAGTAGCTCTGTTCAAGACCTCAAACATTGACTGGAATCAGGGTCAGCAGTGTCCTTTGAACCTGAGGAGGGTTCAGTGACCCCCTGTTGCTGCTCCAGGGATTGGGAAATGCAGGCAAAGCAGAGACATTCATTGACAGCTGGGGTTTATGTTTCTCATGATCTTGATTTCCATGGAGAAGACAGGGAAAGAACAAACACCTGGAAGCTGAGAGCTCTGATCTCTCCGTATCAACTGCCTTGTTCTTACATGCCCTCCTTTGAGCCCTTTGGGCATGAAAATCTAACAGTTAGTACAGTGTGTTTTGGTCTTATAAACTGTCGACATGGAGACTGATGGGAACACTCCTACAAAATACAGACCAACATGCCAAGCTGCCACTGCCATTTAAATGCAGCCCGGATGCAGAACCAATGCTTTCTCTACCTACTAGAACACTGGAAAGCAAACAGGACCTTTGAGACATCTGGATTTTGAAGGACAGGTGACCTCCCAAGATGTACTTTAGGCCCAGCGCAGCAAAACCCAAACTGCTCATTACTACCACCTTTTGGCAGAAATTAGGTAACTAGATGCCTAAAAGCCATGTGCAAAGCTGCACAGCAGAAATCTAAAGGACCATCAGAGGTGGAAATAAACCATAGCTGGCCAATACCTTTAGCCTTTGGAAACAGCCTAAGGAGTACGAGAACATGAGCTAGAAAGAACATTCTACTGAGTGCAGTTTTTAATCACAAGACTCAATGCCAATTTTAAAGTTGACAAAACTGAAGTAACACCTGACAGAAACCCAGGGAAGATTTGGCCCTTGCCTCTGCCTCTTTGGTTTTGCCATGAGATTTGAGGCTGTCAAAGTCCCTTTGCCGTATATGAGATTCCTGAGTCCACATGAACTGAAAGATGAACTACACTTACACGGTGGTTCCAAAACTCTGCCCAACACAAGAGCCTTTCTCACTCCCGTGGAGAAGGTATTTGGGATTAGTGGAAGAGAAAGTTAAAGCAAATGCATAAAGCCCCACTTGCCTAGAACCATCCAGTTTGAAGTCCTATAGCACTTGGACTCCTTGTTCTGCATTGAAACACTGCTGCCCTGTTAAATTTCCACCCAACAGCTGCAGAATTCCGACCAGATACAGCTCCTTAGGACAGATTCTGCTCCCACCCCCAGAAAGACAGCAAATCACGCTGAATCCACAGTGTCAAGAGTTGATCCAAGGGGCTTCTGAGTCTCCTGGGATAAGATACATTTCAAGCCTCCTTTCACTTACCAGCATAGAAGTGGTAGAAGGGCCACCAGACCGCACTGTTGGGAATATAAGTGAGCAGTGAGGCCACATAACCCCTGTAGAAGCCTCTAAAACCGTCAGCCTTGAAAATCTGTACAATGATGTCCTTGGTTTGGCCAAAGACCAGCAGACGCTTGCCATCTTGGTTTCGCACCTTGAACCTGCCCATGCTTTCCCCCTTCCTCTGCATCATGAGGTGCTGGGAGATGACATCGATGGGCACCGTGATGCTCTGGGCCACCAGGGAGGCTGAGCCGCCAGCCACCAGAGACTTCACAGCGTTGTTGTTGTTGTACCGTGACACGTACTTCCGAGTGAGCTCATATGTTGTCACGTAGCACTGTCCCGAGATCAGGGTGAAGGTGTTGACCAAAAAGCCACGGTAGAGCCCAGCCGCCCCTTCTGTCCGCAGGATTTTCACAAAGGCATCGAAAGTCCCATTGTACAGGCTCTTGCCCTTCTGGACCTGCAACCGCGTCCGGATGAGCGTGAAGGGGTAAACGCTCACCCGGATCATCATAGTCATGCAAATCCCAAACACATAGAATTTCCTTTTGTCCAGGTGCTCCCACTCAATGATGGGGATGTTGCGTTTGTCCTCCATGGCTCCTTGGGGTCAGGCAGGAGAGGTCCAGAACTCAAAGGTACAGGGCAGATCCAGACCCAGCCTTCCAGCCTTGACCAACTAGACTGCAAGTGCTGGCACCTGAAATGAGAGACCCCTTGGGTAGAGGACAAAGCCCCGTTCACTACAACCACCCACATCACCTCAGACTTTGCTGACTCTCAGCCCTTGCACAACATTGTGCCAGCTGAGCAGAGGGACTGTGACCTCCAGAGGCAGGGCCCTACCATGTGGCTGATGGTGACACCTGATGTCACCATGACTGTTTTCTGAGCTCCAGCAGCAGCTGGCACACGTGGCAGCTCTCACCACAGCCCAGACTGCTCTGTGGGAAAGGAAAGATCCCACACTTTGGGAAGCAGGCTGAGAGCCAGCAGATGAACACCACTCCAGCAGCACACACACCTTTTAATGGACACGCAAGGTCAGGGATGGCCAACCAAAGCAGCTTCTCCCCAGTCATTCCAGGTCTGTGATGCTCCCAGCTGTCAAGACATCACTTTTCAGTTCCCGGATCTGTACAAAGGAGAAAGTGACAAGTCCTTCTGTGTTCCTAGATTCCCTGCATGAATTAGACAAATTTCTTTGGGCACTTCCATTCCTATCTTCCTAAAGATGGAGGGTGATGAGAAGGTGAAAAGATGAACAACAATGGGAAAACAAGGCAAAACAGCCAGGGAGAGTCTCCACACTGATGACCAAGACCCTGAAAAGAAAGGGTTAAATCACAGCCCAGGATGTCTCTGTTGAGCTGCTTGTCACCTACATGAGCAAAGTTCACCAACACTCCATTGCTGCTCCTGGTCTGATAACCCCCCTTCCACTGCTGGCTGTGCCCAGAGCACCAGGAATGGGGAGGATGAAGAGGGAGGGGCTGGTTTAGCCTCCCCCAGCCCCAATTGCTGCAGCTCATCACCATGTCCCAGCAGGCACCAACTGCTTCTCCACAACCAGGCTCCTGGTACTTTCAGCTGCTGTAATTAGTAAATTAACTTGCTGCATGATTAACCAAGCTTGGCTTAAGGGAACCTATGCACAGGGCCAGGCAACAAGAGAAGGGCATCTCAGAGAATCACCCAACACAACATGGACCACTTCACTGCCTGTAAGGACTTAATTTCTGCATCAAATTAATAAAAACCCTGGGCTCTTTGGGTGGCTGAACTTTTGGGAAAGGCTTGACTGCAGCTGGATCATAACTTGTATTCCGGGTGCTGGCAAATGGGTACTGGAAGCGTGTGGCCAGGCACGAGCTGAACTGCTAAAGAGTAGAGCTAGAGCAAGAAGCAGGTACAGGAACAAGGCAGCCAAAACCTGAGTTTGGAAAACAGATTCTCCAAGTGAGAACTCAAAGGGATGGACAGTCACCACCACACACCGATTTGGGGGCACTTTATATTACCAAGCCACAACATCAGTGCCTAAAAGGAGCTCCAAGGGAGGGGGACTTGGGACAAGGGCCTGGAGTGACGAGACAGGCAGAATGGCTGACCTGATGAGATATTGGGAAGAAATTGTTTCCTGTCAACGTGGTAAGGCCGTGGCACAGGTTGCCCAGAGAAGCTGTGGCTGCTCCATCCCTGGCAGTGTCCAAGGCCAGGCTGGACAGGCCCAGGGAACAACCTGGGATAGTGGAAGGTGTCCCTGCCCACTGCAGGGGGTGGGATGGTATGGGCTTTAAGACCCCTTCCCACCCAAACCAGTCTGTGATTCCTGGAGAAATGTCTCAACACTTCAGAATAAATGAACTCACACAGGCCAGAGACATTCTGTTAGAAACACAGTAACAATACAACCGGAAGTTGTTTACCGCTAGCACAGAGAAGAAATTACAGTTTTGAAACTGTGGCAGATCAGGGGTAGGTGTCCCATTAAGTGAACATTTCATTGCCTGTTGGCCAACAAAATATTTGCTGAACAGGAGCAAACAGCATTACAGGCTACCACAGCTCCTGCAGATGGGCAGAGGAGTTAAAAACACCCAAGGGCACCTGGGTCCAACATCTTTACCATTGTAAAGAGTGACACTTCGCCCTTCCAGGCAGTTGCCTTGGCAGTTAAGGCACAACAAACACCACAGCTTGGCTAAACAAAGCTTGGATTGCTTTAGTTACAATTACAGCCTTACTGGGTTTGCTAATATTGACATGATTTGACACACACAGTTTCCTGCACAGGAATTATCTACACACAGCACCTATGAAAACATGATTTGGTTCTTGTTAGAAGCCCCTCTAGCTTAATATTTCATTAAAAAAAATAAAATAGAGTCCAGCCAATATGATTCCCTCACGAAGCCCGAGGGTTTAGTCCATACTCCAAATTCCTCTGCCATCCAGGGATGGAATTGAGCTCCCCATAAATGAAAGGGCTGCCTGCAAAAAACATTCTCATTACTTCAATATGAAAAACAAAATAATACTAATACTAATAATAATAGTAGTGAAGTATCCTTGAGCTTTAGTTTTATGTGCACATGGGCTTGGGTTTACAATTTCAGCCATAACTTATTGAGGAAACAGCTGTACTTCCTCTGGACTCTCACCAATAACTCCTCTCATTTGTGATCTGAGTTAGACAAAGTCACTTTAACCCCATGGACTGTGAGGCACTCAAAGTCCCTCCTGTGTGGAAGAAGGAAGGGATCCTGGCAGCTCCAGGGATGACCAGTATAGCCACAATTCTTATTTTGCCAACATAAAGTTTTGCTCAGAGCATTTAACCTTCCAGAAATTTAGACCAAGGCCTTGCTCAGGGCAAAGATCCCATCACACTCATTAAGCAACTCTTTGATTATCTTTCAAGTAATTTTAGGGAGACTGATACAAAAGTAATGGCTACATCTAAGAATTGACCTGCCCTTCAAAACAAGGTACAAGAACACCACAGCTCACAGATCTGTGAGCAGCTTCCATGCCAAAACCATCCCTCAGTGGTTCCTTTCTACCATGCACAAAAGAGCATTTCTTGAACTCCTGCCTGGAAACCCAAGCAGAGATACCAAGCAGGGTGTCCCTGCTCCTGCTCTCTCATCTGGGCACAGCCTCAGTCCCCTATATACAGAACTCAACTTAGTATAAATCCCCCCCAGTTTGTCTTTTTAATGCCACCATGTCAGTCTGGTCCCCAAACTGCTCTTTGCTGTAGGTGGAGCTAAAGATGATTCTCTGGCAAACACAGACAGGGCCTTTGTGTGCCCTGGCCAGGGATGGGTCCTGCCCAGCATGCTAATGCCTCAGCACCCGCCTGGGAACCATCCAGAGTCAGCGCTGATGCCTGGCACCTCCTTCAGCAAAGAATCACAAAATAGTCTCAGTTGGACAGGACCCAGAAGGGCCATCGAGTCCAACTCTTGAGTGAACGGCCCATTGGGGGATCGAACCTTGACCTTGGTGTTATTAGCACCATACGTAATTCACCGAGCTAAGCTAATCGACTGTTCATTCCTTAAATTCACCCCGGGGGGAGCAGATACAGACCCGCGAGGGAGTCCTGGCCATTACCCCAGCCCCGCAGAAAACCCGCAGCTCTCCGGAGCAGCTGTGGCTCTGGAACCGATGTGGCAGCGGCACTCTGATGTTGAGGACAACACTTCTCTCCCCAGCACCCTCAGCCCCGCGGGCTGAGCCCCCACACCTTCCTACCCCCTGAGCGAAGCCACCAACTCTGATCCCTGCACCGCAAAAGCTCGGCCGTGCTCTGAGGCCGTGAACAGCGGCAGAGCTCGGTCCGGGATCCGCTCAAGGTCACTGCCGGGCCAGACGCGTCCCCAGCACCGCGGCTCCGTGTCGCGGAGGTGTCCCCACCGTCCCCAAGCCAGCTTCACCCCTGCAGCCCCAGGGGGCTCTGGCCACTTCCCCGTCCACTCCGGAGGAAACTTCGGCCTCTGCCCTGCTGAGGGTCCCTAGATCCTCCAGCTCCTTTCCCGGCAGCCGTTCAAGCCCTGTCTGCCCTGGGAGGCCTCGCCGAGCCCTTCCCAGTCTGCCGCGGGACCCTCCGGCCCCTTCTCCCGGGGTCTTTCAAGGCCAAGTAGGTCTCAAACCAACCCCCTCCCCCATCCCGGCTTACGTGCACCCCTCGCCAGACG